ACAGTGGCCTTCTGGGATGTGCTTATTTGCCTAGGTGCTCATCTGCTTCTGAACAGCAGCTTCTAAACCGAAGGAAAGAGGAATTAAGGCAATTATAACTTTGCAAATATTATTTTCTTGCTTTCAGCCCTTCAGTCTGAGTTGTGGGAGTAAAGAGAATGTAGTATGGTGTTTCACAGGAGTGAGCAGATATAGCTGAGAAGTTTTCTGGCGTTGAGTCCCTCTGCATTAGAGCTGTACCTCTGCTGCACCAAATGTTGTGGTTTAGAGGAATGAAAGACAGCATCCTGACTGACAGACATTGAGTTAGCATAAGCTGCATCATGGCAACATGAAAAGGTCCACAGTACAGATTTTAGCTGTCTCTCAGCTAAGAGTGGTATTTTTTTTTTTTTTTAATTGAGGTGCTATTAGATTCTGAGAGCGTGTTCTGGGGTATATGTGGACAAAGGTGGATAGGTTTAAGGTGTATCAAGGCCTCCAAACACAGAATAGAGGCATACTAGCTTGTGATGCTTGGGTTAAATTCTTTCCTTAATTAAAGTTTATTTCAATATTTTAAGGTTAATGAGACTTAAATGTTTCACTATTGTTTTCTACCTAACTGGAAGTTTCACCACAAACTTGTCAAAGTTAAGAGTTTTGAAACCTATTAATTTCTTTGGTTTTTTAATATCTCTTCATGTAAGAGAATGGAAATCAGCAATTACAGTAGAGGCCTGGAAATTAGTTGATATTTCAACAGACATATAGGTTAAAACACTTGCATATTTAGGGCATGTTTAACTAGAGAAAAACAACTTCATGGATTTAAGCTTCTTAGCTTTTCCTGTCATTGTCCTGGCTAAGATCCACAGAAATGACCACAAAAGATCCAGAAAAGAGGGTATATTTTCATTTGCCTCCAGGCTAAGGAGGCTGCCAGCTGAATACAGAGGTGGCTATGTGTTGGAAGGGAAAAAATTGTTTTTTATGTCACTTCTGAAATAAGTGAGTTTTTTGTTTGTTTTTCCTTCTCTTGCTCTGCCGGCCATTTGGGGCTGGAGCAGGAAGCAGGAGGTGTACTTTCACAGTCCCCCTCCATCCAGGGAAAAGTGCCAAGGTGCTCTTGCTCAGGGTTACACATGAGCCATGCATAATCATCCTGATGCACAGCTCCTGTACAGAAGCTAAAGGTTGGGTCATTTTTAATGTGCTGTAGAAATCTCATGTGACTTGCACAAGGTCACTCTCCAGGCCAGAAGCTGTTATTAGGAGTAAGAGCAGCGAACTCTGACACTCTGAGTGGAAGACCAAACTGTGTCCCCAAAATTTGCAGTTGAGGGGAGAGCTCCTTCTGACCACGGTGTGCATTGCAGGGACCCAGCTTGCCTTCCCAACCTCACTCAGGAGCTCTAGAGTGGTCATTGTTTTTCATTATAACACATTATAATGTTATTCATGATAACGTTTTCTCGCCCTCAGCTGTTAGTTGTCCCACTGTGATCTGATAACTATATTGACATCAACAGACATTAATATAGGGGATCTGTCTTAGAATTCTGTTTAAGAGATTTAAAAAAATAAATACTGCTGGTGTAAACTTCTGAAAATAAACTGGGCTTGGCACAGGAATTACCGATGAATGAAGCTCTTTTATTTTGAGGGGAGTGAACACTTGAAGTCTGTTTTCACTTTAATGGAAACATTTTTTTGTCAACCTGCCAATTCCAAATAAAGTTAGCAAAACAAACCTAAAAATAGTGAAGGTGTAGTACAGCTAGGAAATTGTGAAAGTAGTGAGTGAGCTAAAGCTAAATATCATATTTTGCCCATAGTTGAGAACTTGATATCTCTAAAAAAATAAATACATGAGTAATAAAATACAACCCAAAAGCTCCGTGACATTTCTGGATATGGTTAGATAAATTTACTGTATTTCAAGTAAATCCAGATCTAAATATTAGCTTTCTCAAGAAGTAGCTTTAACTTTAAAACTTTTTCTGGTTTTACTTGTTGAAAAACTGAGTCTGCCTAGAGGTTGAAATGGATAAGTTAAATCAGGAAGGCAAACTCCAGCTTCTCTACCGTGAGGCCTCAAAATTAGATACATTAAAAATGATATTATTTTAGTTCAGAAGAGAAAATTAATAAAATCTAAATTCCTGGAAGCTTATAGCATTGAATGCTTAAGATATTTTAGTGATCATAGTAAATACATTACAATATTATATACTTTGGGACACTTGCATGACTTGTGGCTGCTCACATCCTTCTATTTGATTATACAGTACATGAAGTTTAACTTTCAGGCTTTTAGTAAAGAATAGTGTCTTTACTCTCTAGTGCTAAAATAAGCAGATTCTTATTTCTCTAACTTTTAAAATCAGTATTTTTCAAATAACCATTTAAGATGGAGCTTGTGAATCTCCAGATGAAGAATGTTTTCAGACACTGCTTGTTGATTCAAGTGATGGTTTATGCAGTAGAAGAAAACCTGGCACATGGACCCCATAAGGAGAATTATGAAATGTGCAAATTTAAAAATCTGAAATCCATTACTGTGGGTTTTTAGAGGTCCTTCTTCAAGCTCATTTGAAGCCTGTGGACTGTAGGAGAGCTCAGTTTAGTCACTTGCTGACTGAAGGCAGACAGGGAGAATAAAGTGTGAATGTGGAGTAATTCAGGTGCAAGGGGGCCTTTAGGAGATGCTAAGAAAAGAAAACGTGAATTTATTGCCCAAGAAGGAAAGGTCTTTGTAATTTGCAGTGGCAAGTCTCACAATATCCTTTGTGGTCAGTACAGCAAAAATATTCATTTTGTAGATGCAACTACTTGTTTGAGGTTCTATTTCCAGTTACCAAAAAACCAAGAGAAGGCCAATGGGTACAACTGAAGCTGCACATCTAACCTTTCACATTAGGAATCTCCACCAACTGCCACATCAACACTATGTGTTCTATGACTTCTTCTTTATTGTTTCCACAGACTGTGGGAAATAAAGAATTACTGTTTATTGCCGTGGTATCTCTAGTGACTCCTGTTTTCTCATGTAATTGCAAATAAGCTCAATTAGCAGGATGTAGGCCAAGATGAGATTGATGCTATGAAGTCTGTATTGTGGAAAGTCTCCATGAATTTGGTAGAAAAGGGCTGAAGCAGTGCCTTGCAATAACAAATGTATTAAAACAGTCTGCTCATATTGGAACATTTTACTTTCTACTCATTCAGTTATTCTGAAAATTATTTCCCAAACTATGAACAGATATTTTGTTTTCCTGGGGAAATGTAGAAAGCTGGGTATAAGATAAGGTTCAGACCTGACACCAGCTATGTCTCCAGATGCTGGACACTTGGTAAACTGACAGTATTTAAACCAGAACTTAGAAGCAATTTTTTTATTTAAGCCTACAGCCAACTTGTTAAAGGCAAGCTGAAAACCTCACAGCTTTTATTGCATAACATCTGCAAGTTGGAAGGGATACAGTCCTGTGAATCTGCAGTGTAATCCTGACGAAGCTTAGAACTTTGTCTTTGAAGAGATGCTTTTAAAGGGGGGAAGGGAACAGTGAGATCACTGAGATCTCACTGTGGGGGTTTTTTGGTGAAAAGTAACTGTTGGAAGTTACTAGTGCTGTTTGCATGCAGATGCCATCAATGTTAGCAGTCTCCTAAAAATTTGCATCTGCTAGTACTGAGAAACTGTGCTTCATCCCTCAAACCGCCTTTTCAAGTAATGTTAAAGTCATTTAACATTGTGGTTAGCAGAAATAACTTGATTTTCTTTTTTTGTGAAACAGATTTTCATCTCAAATATAAGTTTTATATAGCTGTATATACAACATAAAACTAAGCCCAAGTAATTTGTTCCGTGAGACCTCTGATTAAAATTTGCATTGCAGATGAACACAAACCAGTTGAACCTTTTTAAAGCTGAAAATGACTGTGTAACTTTATTGCTGTACTATTTGAGCTATTTGACAGAATCATGTGAAGAATCAAATTACCTTCTTCCAGGAGAAGGTGGGGGGAGCGACCATCCAAGATGAGTAATTTTCTTGGACTGGCTCCTTCCAGCCCAGCCTCTAACATCCCTGCAGCCTTTTTTCAGTAATTTTCATCAAGACTGAAATCTAAATTCTTTATTCTGAAATGCTTCAAGTTCTGGATGAATAATGGGAGTTGCTAAAACTGGGGGTCCTTGGTCTGTGTGGCTGAATCAGGTGACCTGTCTTAGGCTGGTTCTGGTGCCTCCCTTTCCTGAGAGGTGCCCTGGGGAAGATGCTGCATTCTGCAAAAGGTTGGCAAATAAAAACTAGATTGAAAGATCTAACTGTACTTTAGTAACACATACAATCAGGATCTTCCTTGAGATTTTGAAATTAATTTGTTTCTTGACACAGGTGAGTACCAGCACAGCTGAAGTACCATAGAAGAGGAGCTGACATATATAAAATTTGCAGTAGCAAATGTAGGAGTTTCTGGTTTTTTAATTAGCTGAAGCTCTATATGTAACTGGGATAAACTCAGTCAGCCTAAAACTCTGGCTGTTCTGAGCTCAAATGATCTCCTAAGATGTGGAAGCTAAATTGTATTATGTAAATATCTTGCATATTACAGCATCACAGTATGAAATTGGTTGGAAAATACCTCTGAGATCACTGAGTCCCATCTTCTACTGAACACCACCTTGTCAACCAGACCTGAGTGCCATATCCAGTCTTTCCTTAAACATCTCCAGGGATGTGACTCCACCACCTTCCTGGGCAGTCCATTTCAATGTTTATTCACCCTTTCCATGAAGAAATATCTCCTAATATCCAACCTAAATCTCTCCTGGTGCAGTTTGAGACTATGTCATAGATACTGTAAATATCTACATGAGTGAGCAACTTTCTCTAGAAAGTACTTCTGATGTTCTGGTGGTTTAGATCCAGTAAAATAATTATTAATAAAATTAATTTCATGAATTTGCTGTGTTGAAGCCTACTGCTAATGTGTGTGCATTTTCATTATTTCAGGAAATCTATCAGTGGTGTGGCTCATCATGCAATAAATACGAGCGACTGAAGGCTACACAGGTTGCTGTTGGCATTCGGGACAATGAACGAAATGGAAGGTCTAAATTAATTGCTGTGGAAGAAGGGGCTGAGCCAGACCGGCTCATAGAGGTACTGTAATGTGCAAACTTGTTGCTGACAGCTGTGAATAAAAAGTTTTTTCACCTCAGGAACTGAATTAGAGTGGGCTGATGCTAGAAAGACAGAGAAAGAGTAGGCCAGTTTATACCTTTTCCTTCCTTATCCAAGCAGTGTTAAATTAATTGGGCATTACAGTCTAAGATAATTAATCATCTGAGAATACTTTTACAATTACAAATGTTTGCTTTATTGAGTTAGCTGTACAGTGACTGAATTAACAGCATGACTCACACCAAAGCACACTATCAGCTCTGTGTGAGGAAGGAACATCTGTCTGGGACAGCACCAAACAAAGAAAGACACAGAATTACTGTGTGTAGAAGGTAAAATAATGTAGCAAATTGCATACTGATGCAGGGGGCCAAGCACACTGCTTTGCATACTTCTGCTTCTATTTCAAGATCATATGCACCTAGACTCTAGTAACCCCAGAGAGCCCCTTCCTCATATATTTAGAAAGTTTAACCATTTACTTAAAATACCCAGATTTTAGATGTCATAGCTAAGCTGATCAAAGTAGAGTGGAAAAAATTTCCCAATTTATGGATTTTTCAGATCTCTACAAACTAACAAACACTCTGGTTGTTGCAGGCTGCACACTTATAAAAGCATTTGTACTGTGTCCTAAATTAAGCTTCTTTCATTCATTCTCCAAAAAGAAGGAAGAAGGATCACAAAGCAGTCCTTCAATGAAATAAAATATGTACAACTAGGATATTGAACTCCAGATTAAGTTCAGGAAGTAAAGCTAATGGTGCATGCAGGAGTGCAATTATTTTTTGTGGTGCTTTCATTCAGAGTGGCCATAACTAGTTACTGCCTGAGCATAAAAACAGGTGCTGAGCCACCAGCCCATGGCCATGCTGGTTGTGGTGACCCCTTTGGAGGGACTGTCCATTTGCTTGCAAAGACCTTTGTTCCTGTAGGTGTGAGTGCAGACATGGCTGTGTTCAGAACTAGGGGAGGTGACACCCAGTGTACCAGAGATTTCTGAAGAGGGGAAAAAAACCAAGCAAACAATCCTCTATCTGGTTTTTTACTTTCTTGTACTTGACTTTCCACATGGGCTCTGATGCAGCACATATTTTACATGTATAACTTTTGAAAAGAGCTGACAATTAGAGAACAACCTCCTGCTCCTGATTTGAATCACAGCATTGGATTGCATCCTGCTGCTGCTGTGGCCAGGTGGCACTGGGGCCCTGCCCTTGGCCACAGCTGCTGCTGCCAAGCCCATCCTGGGGTTACCACTGGAGGCTTTGAACAGAGCTTCTGATACACTCACGTGTGACTTGGGAGCACTGATCAGAACAGCTCCCTTTGCTCCTCTTATTTGGCTACAGTGCAAATATGAATTGGACTTATGTGCTACCCCAGCGAGGACACAGGTCAGCTGTGGGCTGCCTCCCTGCCATCCCCCTTCATAGGCTCTGGGGGGAAAGGATATGCTGCCTTTGCCCCTGCATCTTTGGCAGACTTCAATTTGTGTGCAGCTGTTGTTTTGTATCAACCTTGGCACATGATTAAGAGCAGGAAAACACCAAGGCTGCATTTTGATCCCATAGTGAATTGTTTTTCTATCAGGGAATAAATTTTTTCTTCACTTACACAGCAGTGTATGAAGAAATTTCTGCTTTTTTTTTAGGATTCTGAATATAGAGGGAACAGAAATGGTAGTTCAATGCAATTAGATTAATTGGTTTTACTGCCAGTGTGATGAGCCCAGTTTGAGTGAGTGTGTTTGCAGTCAGGGTTTATCTTCTAGTCTGCATCGTGCTAGCCTTGTTTTAAGCGCTGCTTCCATAAAAGGGTCTGCAGCTCAGCTGTGGCTGAGCCAGTCCACTCTGAAATGTGCTACTAATAAGTCAGGAGGGTAGTTAAACTCGTATAAAAGTTATTAGTCCTTATTCCTGCTCAAATTGTATCCCCTCCTGGTACTCTTTGTTTGGATTTCTCCTTGCTTCCACAAAATTGTCTCTTAACTTGCTGTTACAATCTCCCAGGCTAATTGCTGTTGAGCTAACATTGTGTTTGTTTCTTCCCTCCGCATCAGGAAGGGTGGATTTTTGGCATCTCCAGCTTTCTTAGAAAATGGTTGATTTATTTTGTAGAGAAAATAATTACATACTGTAAATATTCATTTTGTCATCCAGTATGCCACTGAAATCAGAAAGAGATTTCCTAAAATTATTCTCCTCTGAGAAATGTCAGGAATTATTCCCGTTCCTGTGAGCTACAAATCTGCTTCCATATCAGTGGCCAAACTTGCTCATGCAGTGCCAGTAGAAGCTTCAGGCAGGGGCTGACATACCCACCCTGAGTACCAGCAGAAGGAGCCAATACTGATCTTATTCCTGCTCCATAAGCACGGAGTTGTAAATCCCTACCAGAAAAGCAAGACTTCTGTGCCTGCACCCCACCACGGAGGCAAGATACAGACTGGCTGAGCTAACCCTGCCACACTTGTGTCCTGCTGTAGGAGTAGCAGAGGCAGCAGTGCTGTGATGAGGTGGTGTTTCCCAGCCAGTCCACTGTCCTGCTGGGAGCTGTGGTGCTGTGGGTGAGGTGAATTTGTCTGATAAGGGCAGTTACCTGCTCCCAGCTACCATTTTTAGCAATGGAAACAGGCTGCACTGCTTGAGTTTGCCCATGGGAGAGAACTGTCTGGAGCTGCTGTGGGACAGGATGAATTGCTGTGGCAGACCAGCAAGATACAGCTTACTCGCCCTGGGAAAGGAGAATTGCTAGAAGCTGGGTATGTGAGCTCTTTTGACAGCAGCAAGCCCTTTTTCATCTGCCACCACAGGTCACTTGGGAACACACAGTGACCATCCTGTGCTTGCACTCTGGAAATGCAGTGTGTCTGGAAAGCTCAGACTTGCAGAAGTTCAGGGATCACTAGAACTCTGATGTGAAGACAAGGCAGAAACTTTCTGTGCAAGCACATCAAAGATATTTGATGCTCTTCACCTCCATGTTTGCACTTCAGGTGAGGCAGTGACTGGCAGATTTAAAGAAGCAGTGCTGTATAGGGTTGCTACCTTGGAAAATTAAAAGAGAAACCGACCACCTTGGACAAATTGCTGCTGTTGCTGTGACTTGGTCACCAGTCTCAACAGAACATTAAAAAAATCACCAGATGCCAACTCTGCTCTCATTTTTGTATGTAAACACCTGAATAGTTACCTATTCTGCTGAATCTTACATTTGAACATTCAAATTGTGTTCCAGGAGTGTTTCGACTTTCATGGGTCCAATCCAAAAACAGATCTTAGCAATGCAAACTCAGTTTGGTAGCTGCAGAGTGACTGTGTTAGGATTAGAGCTACCTCCATCACTTTTTTTTTTTCCCAAGGAAGATTAAATATATTATTTCAAAGATAACCTAAGACCAAAATCCTCTAGCATCTGTTGCTAGCTCTATCTGCCCCCTTGGGCTCACTGTGCTGACGCTAATACTCATCCTTTGCACTGCTTGCAGTGGTAAGCAGAGATCTCACAGCACTGCTTTTAGTTGCCAAAGGGATCACTGATAGGCAGGTATGTTCAGGACAGGCAATTTTCTTGCTCTAGTTTGAATCTCTGCTCTAATTTTCAAGAGAGAACAAAATTGGAAAAGCTATATTTTAAAAAGGGTCTCCCATAATCTCGTTATTTAATATTGTGGTGTAATGGCAAACAAGGAGAAACAAGGAACCAGAAATTACTGTAGTTGTGAAGATTTCTAGTCAGCCAGCAAGGTGAAGGTGCTTGCAGTAAAGCAGGAAGCATAGAAGCATTCAGTTCTGAGTCACTCAAGGGAAGGATGCAAAACATCCAATCCTCCATTCACTGTGCAGCAATCCCTTGATCTGATATAATTCTAGAGATGAAGTAGAGGGGAGGAGAAAGTCTATTTGTTTCCCTCTATTATGTAATTTGAAATATTAGGCACCCTAAAATATGTTTATTTTGATAGTACTTTCTGTCTAAATAGACTCATCTCCCTGTGACACATTTCAAGTATGCTGGGCAGCTGTGTCAGTCTGTAGAGTATAAGAGACAATGAAAAAGACTGAGTTTTACCTAAACTAAGTGTTAAGCCTGCATCTGCCCCCTCTACTTAATCATGTCATGTTCAGCTGACACTTTTCAAGATGCTTGTTTTCTCTGAGCCTGTCTGATTCATAGAATTAATTGCTTTATTGTTCCCCTACAAATTGCTCTCTTAAAACTGCAGCTCTTGGTACTATATGATTGCTGCGGGTTATACTGCTGAGACTTGTTGTTTTGTAAAGGTTTTTGATTTTCATGATTGAAAACAATGAAACCTGAGAAATGTGACAGGTCCAAAATCACAAGAAAATGTATCATCTTGTTAGTATAAATTCTTTGGAATCACCCCTCAACCTTTAAACATAAAGCTTCGTCACTTTTATTTGCTCAGCATTTGCAGTTGTCATGTGCCTGTTTTGGTGAGCATTCTAGAGCCCTTACAACAGGTGGGTCCCAACTTCTCATAAAACACGTAGGTAAAGATTCAGCTGGTGTAAATATGGAGCAACAGGGGACACCTCTTCCTCCTTGCTGATAAAGCAGCCTTTCTCCTTCCTGCTTTTTCTCTAAAGCCCATAAGCAATGCTTAATCATGAGAAATCCTGAATGTCGCTGTGTTCAGTGAGGATTGTTTTCGCCTGTGGTGTGAATAAATACTACGTGTGAATGGTGTGATCATATTACAGCCAGTCACACCTTTCTACCTTTGTAGCTGGAAAGGGACTGGCAGCACTATACAATGCTAACTCAGCCCTGTGGATAAAATCCCAAGAGCACAGACAATAGATTCCATTGCAAATGCAAGTTACTGAGGCTCTAGAGACCCAAATAATGCAAACATGTTGAAAACATGAAGCTCCAGTAATCCTTAAATTAATTGGATAGATGTCTGCCCATATGGATAAGAGAGCAGTATCACTCCTTCCTTTTTTATT